CAAAATTGGATCAATTTGTGATTATATCATTATACATTAAACATTATGATATTTCAGGAGAACAATCAACATAATCCTGGTTTGAATATCAGAAGTAAATAACAATAAAAAAATTTGTTTAATAGTTCCATTGCACTGAATGTCCTTCATAGTATCTTCAAAAAATGTTTTCTTACCTCATACATCTCAATTTCATTATCTGGGTCATTGGGAGCATCCCAAGCCAGGGATATTTCAGTGCTTTTCACACTGGTAACATGTACATTGCCCACCATGGCTGGAACTGTCAAGAAAATATGCCTTTAGTACAAAGGACTACAAGTATTGGACACTCTTATCTATGTGCTTTCTAAAAAAAGAAAAAAAAAAAAGAAAAAAAAAGAGATCATGCAAAAAATAATGTCTAGGGATATCAATTACGGATATCTATTCAAGATTTTTTAAAAATAAAATCAAACATCTATTAAAACAAAGATACATATCTTAGATCCATGTTTTTAAAGTAAAGGAATATTTATACATAGGAAGGAAAAAAAACTAAAACAGTAAAGTTGTGAGAACTTATAACTTTCAAGTGATTTACTTGCATATATATTTCACACTACAGAACATTAAGAAAATTGAAAAAGAAACATGTTAAGTCTAAATCTTTCTGTTACAGTTCTTCACAACTGAATTTGACTTCTTTCAAAATGGGTGAAAAAACTACAAAATGCTCTCTCTAAGAAACTGAATGAAGAAGACAAACATGAGAGGGAATAAGCTGAACTACAAAAACTACGTCAAATACAGACAAACTACAATAAGAACCCACCCTCTGTATCGGAGCCAATCACCATAAAGCCACCTTTATCAGGGAAGAAGGGAAGGGATGTGTTACTAAAGGACATGTCCAGACTTCTGCTAATCTTAATACTATATATGAACAATTTGCTACATTCAAACAAACTATTTACACTGAAAACTCCTCAACATATATCTATAGCTATATGATAGCAATTTCATATGACCACAATATTGCAATTGGCAATGAATGGGTAAACTAATATGAATGACTAACAGGTTGTGATGAGACATACAAACTATTTCCTGGACTGACAATGTATGTTCAAGGTTTATGTACAATTACAACTCAAACTAGATTTACGTGCAAGGTATGTGCACTGCTATATAAGTATGTACATATATACTGTTCTCCCTTATACTATTCACATTTTGGTATGAACTGTAATAAATGTCAACAAAAGCAATATACATCCACCAAATTACATCACAGAAATAATAACAAACTAAATGGATTTAATTTTAAAAAATTAAATTCTACAAACTGCCTCACCTGATGCCTCTGTAGTCACAGTTATATCAACATACTGGGGATCTCGACCCTGATCAGAAACCCCATTCTCTGCAAAGACCTGAAACCTGTAGGTGGTTACCGCATACAGGCCACTGATGGTGACTTGGGTTGTGTTAAAGCTCTCCTGAAAAAACAAAACAAAAAACCACATTCACATATCTGATATGGCTTTGCCTTATCATTTTTGTTGCACTACTAAAGGAAAATTAATTCAGGCAAAAATGTGATTGAAAATGAAATCAAACACCTACCTCTGCAATCTGGGGTGGATTGTAGGACACCAGATTACTGCAAACATCGCAGATGACCCTGTAGAGGATGTCAGTGCGTCCGCCGTCATTGACAGGGGGCTGCCATGACAGGATGACCGTGGACTGATCCATGACATTAGCTGTGACATTCTGTGGCTTGCTTGGAGGACCTTCCGGAAACAGGAGGTTGTGCAGTTTATACAAGAATTAAAACACGTCACCAGTTATCCAATTTACTTCATACTACTGGAATTCTAAATAACTTGATCATAATAATTCAAAGGTAATTATGGAATTACAAAGAATGCCCAACTCATACATTAAGTAAATGTATCTATAGTGTATCTATCTATATATGTGCATATGTACGTATGTATGTATATATGCAAGTATATATACATGTATGTATGTATGTATGTATGTATGTGTGTGTGTGTGTATGTGTGTATGTATGTATGTATGTATGTATGTATGTATGCAAGTATGTATGTATGCAAGTATGTATGTATACAAGTATGTATGTATACAAGTATGTATATATACAAGTATGTATGTATGCAAGTATGTATGTATGCATGCAAATATGTATCATATATGTATGTATGTATGTATGTATGTAAGCATGTATGTATGTATATATGTATATATGTATATATGTATGTATATATGTATGTATGTATGTATGTATGTATGTATGTATGTATGTATTCATATATGTATATGATGTGTTACTTACGGGTACATGGCATGCTCCGAGGATCCTTATGAGCGCGGTAGTAGCCAGTGTCGCAACGGCACTCGGTGGCACCTGCATGAGGAGCGGCACTGTGGTCCGGGCAAGCACGGCATGCAGATGCACCCACAGCATCCTTGAACTTGCCAGGAGGACATACTGTAAAGAAGAAAAGAGCTTATAAATTCCTTGCCCTAAGGTAAAAATCGTTTTATTCCTGCACAAAATACACAATTTAACAGATAAGTTAATGTCAATACATATTGCGTAAGAGCTCAGTTCGAGAACAATCCGGGGTCAAACAAGTACTCAGTTACCCTCACGTCCCTTTTAAATTTTCAGATGGATAGTAACTCCAACGAACGCTGAGTTGAAGTTGGGTGAGTGAGTGAGTTTGTGTGTGTGTGTGTGTGTGTGTGTGTGTGTGTGTGTGTGTGTGTGTGTGTGTGTGTGTGTGTGTGTGTGTGTGTGTGTGTGTGTGCGCGTGCGTGCATGCGTGCGTGCGTGTGTGAGTGCGTGCGTGCGTGCGCGTGTGCGTGTGTGTGTGCGTGTGTGTGTGCGTGTGTGTGTGCGTGTGAGTGAGTGAGTGAGTGAGTGTGAGTGATGGCAGAGAGGGACATCAATACGCCCCACAAGAATCAAAGAAAAGTTTTGATGAAAAGTGAAACATATAAAGAAAATTCAATTTAAGTGCGCATCCGTTTCATCTTCAAACAGAAAAGCCGTCTATGTATTCAACTGCTAAAAATAACTTCAGAAACCGTACCCCTGTCTCCTAATCTTCTTTTAGCGCTGATCAGCCACAAACCGTAAATCACAAACCCCATTCAAGTGAAATTGTGGAGAGTGAATCGAGCTAAATTGAAATTACAGAAGAGAGCCGTGGTAGGAGGAAAAATTGGTTGCCATAGTAATGGCATCACTGCACCGAGAGTTTAGCTTTGCAATATACTTTCCTTGAAAAAAATGCTGCTAAGGAGTAATAGAAACACCGGAAAGAACTGGAAATAAGGCGAAAAAAATCAATACATGACAAAAAGTGGGAAGCAATTGCTTAACATAAGAAAAAAGTTAAACGGAATCATGGAGAAAAGGGGGAGGAAATGAAAATGAAGTAAGGGGAGGAGATAACAGCTAGTGAGGGGAAGAGAGGCGAGAACGCAGATATTTAATAGAGAGTAAATAAAGTGGACATGAAAAAGATAAAAAAGAGAAAATACATATAAATACGAGTGGATGGAGATGCGAAGGAGAGCACAAACATTTAAAAAAGACGAAGAGGGAGAGGAGGGGAGCGAATGAAAAGGGAAAAGGGGAAGCGGGCGTGGAGAGCCCAAGCGCCACGTGACGGTAATTAACCATTTCTCGTTACAATCACGCACCAATCAGCAACTACCACCGCCACCACACGCGCCACAGACTACCAGTAACTACCCTTTAACCATCGCGTCAAAGACTGAAAATGAGGACGGGGGAACGGAAGTCTTTATCGACGAGAAGCGGAGTCAGCGTCAAAGCAGGATTTGCGACATAAAATACCGTCTAAAAAACCTGAATATGAAAGAATGTTACTGGCGGCTTCACCCGTAAGACTAATAGAGCATGTGTGCGCATACGAGTGTGGAGTGCTAGCTGCGCCCCCTGTCAGTTCACGTGGCGAGCTGTAAATCAGTTCTTCCTCGCCTCACTTTTATATTCCACCCTCTTCCATTACCCTTCTTTCCCCTTCACACCCCCCTTCTATAGCCAGTTTCCTTAATCTCGTCTCCCATACTGATCTGTGCTCTTATATATTTTCTGTCTTTCTGTCTGTCTGTCTCCAGTTGCTAACCATTACCAAATTAACTCCCGGTTTCCCCTGACTTCTGCCTTTATCAACCCTACTCTCCCCTCGACATTTCTTGTTCTTTCCCTTCCTCTATCCTTCCATCACATCACCATTTCCATGCTTGGGAATCAATAAATCTTGCCAAAAACTGCATGTGAAACAAGGAGGGGGCTAAAAGCCTGTTTGGGGTGCGCGCGCGAATGCTCCTGTACGTGTATGTACAGTTCACTCGGTGTCCGTCTTTTTACCACTTCCTGTCTCTTGATTTTGGGCTTCGAATTTGATGCATCCAATCAATTGACAACTGGAAAGACAGCAGGAAAGAGGAAAATGGGAACATGCAATACTTACGAGAGATGTCGGCAGGAGAATAGGAATCATAGGGCCATAAACCAAGGTGCTAAACCAATGCGATCGTGTTTCCAGTGTCTGTACAAACCTATTCTCTCTTCGCCCCTCCAATTGGAAGCCCCGCTGGGGCCGGGCGCCCTCTTGGGTCTGGCTCTCTCACCATTAGAGCAGGCTGATTACCCCCCTTGTTATCACGCTAACTACCTCTCTTCCTCCTCCCCTTTCCTCCTCGCCGTCGTTCTTCGCCCTCTCCTCCTTTTCCCCATTTCCCTTCTCCACCCAGCGACAGCAAATAAAGAAATGGTGGTAACGGGGGCAGAGTGGCTCCCTATGGTGCCACTACTGCGGGAGACCAATCTTTTTTCACTGATAAACATGGTACATGTATGAGATATAAATAGTTGGTAGGAGAGAGAGAGAGAGAGAGAGAGAGAGAGAGAGAGAGAGAGAGAGAGAGAGAGAGAGAGAGAGAGAGAGAGAGAGAGAGAGAGAGAGAGAGAGAGAGAATATCTCTTCCCTTCTGCGTCCTCGTCCTCTGCCTTCGCCGCGGAGCCGGGCCCACACCGCTGCCAGACCACAGTTGATAACACAAATGGTGGCAATTACACTTAGGGGAAGCAAAATTACAGTATGTTTGTCGTCCCTTTGACCCCCCCCCCCCACGCCGCACGAGGGCGAGAGGAGGGTGAGAGCAAGTAATGAGGGAAGAGGGGAGGAACTGAACGCGCGAGTGGAAGAGAGGGGAAAACCGCCAAGAAGTTTTTCGCTTGCTTCTCCAATTCCCGGTTATTGTTATTGATGCTATTTTATTTACTACATTATTACTATTACTACTGCTGCCACTATAATCTTTATCATTGTGAACACCATCACCATTATTATTATCATCATCATCTTCAACCTTACTATCATATGACAATTATTTCTTTTGATTCTATTCTTGGCTCATTAATGTAATTTATTCCAAAACCACAACAAATGCAGCCACACACCGACTATCAAACTATATCCGCAACAAAACGTAAATATATGTTAATTAAAGCGATCGTACTTATCACACTAGAAGAAAAAAACAGGAGGAGGAGGAGGAGGAGGGGGGGGGGGGGGGAGAGGAGAGGGGAGGAGACAAGTTTGCTTGCTTCTCCAATTCCGGTTATTGTTATTGATGCTATTTTATTTACTACATTATTACTATTACTACTGCTGCCACTATAATCTTTATCATTGTGAACACCATCACCATTATTATTATCATCATCATCTTCAACCTTACTATCATATGATAATTATTTCTCTTGATTCTATTCTTGGCTCATTAATGTAATTTATTCCAAAACCACAACAAATGCAGCCACACACCGACTATCAAACTATATCCGCAACAAAACGTAAATATATGTTAATTAAAGCGATCGTACTTATCACACTCGGTAGAAGAAAAAAAACAGGAGGAGGAGGAGGAGGAGGAGGAGGGGGGGGAGAGGAGAGGCGGAGGAGGAAGAGAAGGAAGCGACTAATGAGGAGGAGGAAAGGAACAGCAGCAGAGTGAGCGAGTATTAGGGGCAAGTAGCGTCCGTAGCTGCTCTCCCCAAGTCCACTCCCCCCCCTTCCTATTCCCATTCGTCTCTTGGGTCGCGGGTCAGGTTACCAGGTGATGATGGTGCCCACAGATACCCTGGGCACCTTCATCTCTGAATACCGCTCTTTGAGGAAGGAAACGACGACCAAAAGGAAAGAAGAAAAAAGACCGCGGAAAAGGATCGCATACTGGAAGGAAAGAACGGAAATAGAAATAACAAGAGCAGAAGAGGAGAGACGACAACTACAAGGTTCAGAAAAAAGAAGAGAACGTAGAAACATGACGCGAGCGAGAGGTTGGGTGGCAGCCGAGAGGCGAGACACTACACATATCAGAGCGTTGGCGTCTGAAGGAGCGGAGGCGGCCGTCGGAGGAGGGCGGCCGCCTCCACTCCTCGCCTTCCCTTTGCTCTCCCGGAGGCAGGCTCTCGCACGCACAGAGTCCGAGGGTCTCCGCAGTTGTAACAATCGAGTTTAGATGTTATCAGTATTACTATAATTGTTAATATTGAGATTATTACCATCATTTTAGATTATTCTCAATATCATTTCTACTAGCAAAAATATTAGTAATAATAGTAATAAATAATAACAATAATTAGTTATTATTATTAATGATGAAAATAATAACATCTGTCATAAAATAATAGAAAAATAACGACAAAAAATGTCTGGGATCCAATAATAGTAATGATAACAGCAAATAATATTAACAGTAGTATTATCATCTTTACATTATTATCAATATTAGCATTGTCAATACTATCAAAATCGTCATAATTATCATTATCACCATTTACATAGTGATAATTTCCTTTCTCTCTCTGACGATGGTGAGGTCTTTTACTACTACTACTGCTACTACTACTTATAATAATAACAACAATGACAGTAAAAACAAACAATAACAACAGTGACATTAGAAGCAGAAAAGGAGGCAGAGCAGGAAGAGAATGGTGGCGAAGACAAGTAGAGAGGGAAGGAAGGGAAGGGAGGTAGGCGTGCAAGGGCGTGCGAGGGCGTGCGAGGGCGTGCGAGGGCGTGGTGGGCCAGTAGCTTGTCCATTATCTGTCTCGTTAGTGTGAAGAGATCACTACACCTGCTCCTCTCCCTCCCTCCTTTCTTTCCCCAACGCTCTTCTCTCCTTTCGTTCTCACTCGCGAAAATGTCCCGGGATTTTTACTCTTCAAAGGGAGTAGCAAGGGAGGGGGAGCAAGGGAGGGGGAGCAAGGGAGGGGGAGCAAGGGAGGGGGGGCAAGGGAGGGGGAGCAAGGGAGGGGGAGCAAGGGAGGGGGGGCAAGGGAGGGAGGGCAAGGGAGGGGGAGCAAGGGAGGGGGAGCAAGGGAGGGGGAGCAAGGGAGGGGGAGCAAGGGAGGGGAGCAAGGGGGGGAGCAAGGGAGGG